TATATATATATATATATATGGCCTCTTGGACCATTTATATCAGAACTGATTACTACTTTAGCATTAAAATATATCATATTAAAATAGCCTATATAAATTTTATTATTACTGTCCCCTTACTGTACAAACAGTAAATAAATATTTATGGATCCTGAGTATGTGACGTCGCCATTAATGTGTTTCTAGTTAAAATATTTATTTATTTATTTATTGGTAGATTGGCTTATGGGGTGATTTTGTTGGAGTAATTAAGTTAATCTTCTCATAAGTCACTGTAATATGTAGAGATGCCATCTAGGCCGTTTTTCTTCGTTTTGTTTTTTTTAAAGTCTATATTTTGCTTTACAAAAACGTGAAAACGCAGCTGTGACCAAGCTATCACGAGGTGAGTAGCACTGTAAGCAGAATTAATAGCGATATACTTCAGTTTGTCTGTGTGTTTTTGAGATGCAATATTTCTTATGTCAGGGGGTCAAGATGGGCAGAAAAGTTTCAAATAAAAGCACAGGGACATATAACATCACAAAAACATATCAAAACCCAACAACGGACACAAAACATGTACCCAGTTTTCTGTGTAGTCTGTACCTTTATTTTGGAGAACGCATTTCTTTTCAACGCTAGAGGCGCTGTGGGGAATTTTAAACCGGAAGTAGCTCTTGCATCTTCTTTGTTTTGAACTTTGACCTCAGACTTTTGCACGCTGGAAATGGAAAACCAGTGAAACAACGTGGATAGTGAAATATTAAACTGTTATTTATTAAACTCAGAGTTAACAGAGCCTCAGTGTCCCATGTTTCATTCCGCCTGGATTTAATAAATCGACTCCTCAAGGCGACTGAAAGGTAAGCTGCGTCTGCGTGACAATATCAGTTTGTTTACAAACTGTTGACGACTCGTATTGAAGCTAAATAGCTTTAAAGTAGCTCCAGTTTTTGTAATTTGACAGATAATGGTCATTTTCGCTACATTTGATACTTTTGGATTCATGAGTACTTTACACATACACATTTATGTCAGTGTTGACCTAAAATGCGCTCAAAGCTAACTGCTAGCTAATGTTAGCCCGAGTAAAATTAAGACACTCAGAATTACTGATGCACGAGGGAAGTTAATTTGCACCACAGCAGCAAAAATGTCATGTTAGTCAGTGCCCATTTAATTCATGTATTGTAACAACAGTGCAAACAAGACTCCCTCAGTCTCTCAAACAAGACTCCCTCAGTCTCTCAGATGTAGATAGGCTGATGAAGTGTGTACTGTCAGTGATGTTAGCTCGATCACTCCACTGCTGTGTTACAGATGGGGAAGGCACCTAAGAAGAGGAGCCTTGCAGACAAGGTCCGCAAAACCAAGACCTCCACTGAGATCAAAAACAACCCTTTCGAGGTGAAAATTAACAGGAAGAAGTTTGATATTCTGGGGAGGAAATCCAAGCATGACGTGGGTCTGCCTGGTGTGTCTCGATCCAAAGCCATTAATAAGGTAAGAGGGAATCTCATGTTGTTGATCCTGCACCTTCATCAACTTCTCTCT